TCTGGCTAAGTTGCTGAGGCTGGCTTTGAACATGCAATACTCCCTAGCAGCCGGCATCACAGGCACGCATCACTACACCTAGCTTATTCTGTATTCTCTAATGAACTTTTAAAATATTTTATTCATTTTAAATTTTTTTTTTATCTTATTGATTCACGGGAGTTATATTTATATGTCTTGGGCTTGAATCTTCTATAAAGATGTGATTTGCAGAGATGTTTTTTGTAGGTATTTTTTCCTTATATGAATTGCTTTTCATTTGCGGGGGGAAGGTGGCTATTGGGAATTTAACTCAGGAGTGCTTTACCTTTTTATTTTTTATTTTGATACAGTATCTTGCCAAGTTGCTGAGGTGGCCTTGAATTTGGGATTTTTCTGTCTGAGCCTCCCAAATCTTTGGGATTACAGGTATATGCCACCACACCTGGCACTTTTCATTTTGTAACAAAGTCATTTAAAGAGCAAAAGATTTTATTTGTGAAATCCAGTTTATTCATTGTTTTTTATTAAGTTTTTGTTTTTCATAATCCATTTAGGAAAATTTTGTGTAATCCAAGATCACTGAAATATTCTCATATTTTCTGCTAGTAATACTCATACATTTAGATGTATGATGGGTTTTGAGATATGAGGAAAGGGTCAAATATCGCTTTTCTGGCATATTGATATGCAATTGTAGAATACCATGTGTTGAAAAGAATGCATCCTTTCCCACCCCCGTGAATTGTATTGATAGCTCTTTGAAAAGCAGTTGGCCATACCTGTATATCTATTTCTGGATATTCCTACGTGTCATATCTACATTAGGTTAGTAAATACTGTCTTGATTATGCTGTCTTTATAGTAAATATGGAAGGAAATCAGGTAACGTTCTGATTCATGAACACGGTATAGGTTTATTTAGGTCTTTAATTTCATCAATGTATTGTGTTTGTCACTGTACAGTCTTAGACACGTTTTGTTATATTTATCCTTAAGGATTTAGTGTTTCTAATATTTGTGATAATCATTTTTTCCCCTTTCTATAACAAATACCTGAGGTAATCAACCTATAAAGAGAAAAGGTTTATTCTTGCTCAAATTTTAATTAGAGGTTTCAGACGTGAGCAATTGGCCCTGTTGTAGGGCTGTGACAAAGCCCACATATCTTAGTGGAACCTCAGAGTTATACAGAGTGGCTCACCTCATAGCCAGGCAGTAAAAGAGAGGGGGGAAAAAGAAGAGGAAGACACTGGGGTTCCATAGTTCCTTTAAGGACACACCCCCAATGACCTGAAGACCTCCCAGTGGACCCTACCTCTTAAAGTCTTTTTCTACTGCTTACTAATAATGCCACTGTGGAGATCAAGCATTTATCACATGGACCTTTGTTCTACTTAAGAATACAGATTATAGCAATGTTATTCACACAGCCAGGGCACTTTTTCACTGAGCAACATCCCTAGCCCTTTTCTTAAAAGAAAAAAAAAAAGTTTTTTTTTTTTTTTTTTTTTTAAATTTCAGACAGGGTCTTGCTTAATTCTAAGACTGTCCTCAAATTTGTGATTGTCCCAAGTTGCTGGCATTAGAGGTGTGTATCACCATACCTGGCCCTTACTTATTAGTACTGTTAACTTCTTAGTAGATAGTATGGCTTTGTCTTCATAGGTGATCATGGCATCTGAAAATAAGGCCTGCTTTTACTCCTTCCTTTCCAAGTTATATACCTTTTACTTCTTTTTTTTTCTTTATTGAATTGATAAGGACCACCAGTAAGTACAGTGTTGAATAATAGGGGTGAGACATCCTTGACTCATTGTTAATCATAGAAAGCATTCAAATTCCGTTTTGTATTTCTATTTTGCAGATTTATTATTAATGAGTATTGAATGTTATCAAACATTGTGTCATGAGATTTTTTTTTATTTGCTTTAATTAATAAAGCAATTATATCGAATAAGTTAACCTTAAATTCCTAAGATAAGCCCTACTCATTCATGGTATATATCCTTATATAATTGTGTTTGATTTGCTGATATTTTTGAGGGATTTGTTTTTTAGTTTGCATGAGGTATATTGGTCTGAATATTTGTTGTAGAAGGCATAGTCTGCTTTTGGTATTGGGCAATGGTGCCCTCATAAAAGTGTTCCTGCCTCTTTTCTTCAGGAGAGTTTGTGTATAATTGGCATTATTTCTTCCCTGAAATATTTTGTGGGCCTCACCGTTGGAGCCATCTTTACCTGGAGTTTTCTTTTTTAAATTATGAATTTAATTTCTTTAATAAATACAGAGCTTTTGAGGTGATCTTTCCTGAGTGAGCTTTGGTGTTTGTGTCTTTGATGGAACTTGTGTATTTCATAGTAATTTATTGAATTTATTTGCATGTATTAGTAATATCCCTTTATCTTTTATGTATTTATAGTATCTGCATGTTGTTCCTCTTTCATTGTTCATGTGGGTATAGTTTTGTTTTATTTCTAATTGATCTGTCTAGAGATTTATCAATTTTATTGATCTTTTTAAAGAACAAGTTTTCTGTTTCAATTTTTCTTGGCTTTTTAGTTTGGAGATAGTCCTTTAATCTTCTATAATTCTGGTGTAATTTCTTTTTTTCTGATAACAAATTGTGTATAATTTTAATTTTCTTTAAATTTGTTTAAAGTTTTAAATTTGTTAAAATTTAAAAAAAAATTTAAAGATGGCCTATCTTGGTGAATATTCTGTGTGCCTTTGAAAATAATGAGTATTCTACGCTAGATGGGAAAGCTTATTTGTCAATGTCAATTAGATCCACTATTGCTAATTTTCTTTCTTAGAGAGTAGTTGAAGCCTACTTGAATTTATTTCTTGAATTTGTTAGAATTTCTTMAGTCAGTTCTATCAAGTTTTGCTTCATGTGTTTTATAGTTCTCTGTTGGTTGTATATGTATTTAGGATTTGTATGTCTTAGTGAATTGACCCTTTTATCAACAAGTAATATGTATGTTTTTCTGCTCTGAGATCTATACCAATATTAATATAGCCACTTTAGCTTTCCTTTGATTAGTACACTTACATGGCATACTGTTTTTCTATGCATTTATTTTAACTTACCTATATTAATATATCTGAAGTGAATTTCTTCATGTCCATTCTTCTCCCCTCTTTTGACAATTTCTGTTTGATTAATGTATTTAAAACATTAGTATTTCATAATTTTTGGTATTTTGAATTAGGTCTGTCATTTTTTGCTGAGTTTCCACTGTACTTCATTTCTCAGTTTCCTTTTCCTGCCTTCTGTTGGGTTATTTGTACATTTTTATACATTCTATTTTAATTATCTACTGCGATTTTGGTTTTGTATAGTTTATATGGTGGTTGATCTAGTGATTATAGTTTACATCTCAGGACCAGAACCTAATTATATATTAAATGATTAATATTTGTTGATTAAAGCAATATTTTTGGAATATAATTGTAATTTTTATCACATAAGTGCTAACTTTTTTCCAAGTAGAGATTTAAAAAATAGTTTCATAAAATAATCTATTTACTATATTGCCTATAGTATTTTAATATTCACCGTACTCCTTTAGTTCACTAGTAACTTGCTTTGCTTCATCTACAAAGGAGAGATTACTATTACTTTCTTAGTTTCACTTAAGCTGATGATTTGTGTTATTATAACACTCAGTTTTGAGTTTGTGTTTCATGACTTATATAATTCTGTCTCTGCCTAAGATTTACACATAGCCAGCTTTGAAGACACTGCTGTTTAAACGATTCTGTTTATTTGGTAATAGTTGAAACAGTTGAGTGGCCCTAAGGTATAAGCTGTATTTTTTCTCTGAAAAGTCAAGAAAACATCAAAACCAAAATTTTAACCAGTAGAACAATTTCAAGAGCATAGTAGATTTCATTACTACTTGATTGACAGTGTTTAGATTTTAATTATTCACGTAAGTATTAGAATGACAGTTTTCTTGGACCAATGATATTCATGTATAAGAAATTTATAACATGAAGAGTTAAAAATAAACTCATAAGTCATTCTGCTTATTGGGTTAGCCTCTGTCTAACCCAATACAGTGCACTAAAGCTTTCTGTGATGATAGAATTATATATCTGCAGTGTAAATTGTAATAGCTACTCTAATGTCATCTAATTTTAATTAAGCTTTAAATTGCCATGCATGGCTAATAGCTCATCAGACAGCAAAACAAGTCTAGCTTCATCTTCCTCTTTTACATATAAAACCTCAAAAACTTTTTCTAGCTTTCTCAAGCATAACCCTGTCTTAAGTATAACTTTTGGTAGGATACAGAGTAGGAGAGAATAGGCTGAACTAATTGGAAAGCAAATGGTGCAAATACTAATAATTACAATGCAACATAAATATTGTATTGGTGAACAGGTTAATAAAATTATTAAATGTCTTGGGATATTCAGTGAAGAATTAAAAATTATACTAGGGATTTTAAGTAGGAAAAGGCTTAATATAGGAAATTACATGATGTAAAATAACCAATCAGACTAATTAGGTTCTTGATTGAATCTTCAGAAATGAATTCCAGCCAACACAGAACTAGTAGGGAATGTATTTGGAGATTTCACTGCTTGTGGTTATTCAGAAAGCAAAAGGTATTCGTAGTGTAGAGAAGATGGGAAATAACATGATTTTCTTTTTTGTCAGTGACTAGTTAAGTGGACTTGAACAACAGAACTTTAATTAGAACCTCAAATTGTTAAGTAAAAACTTATGTTAGGTTGGAATAGCTTTGAGAAAATAAATGATTTATAGAGACATGGAGAAAACAAAAAATTGGACTAATCGTGGTGGTGGTGCCTAATTTTAAGAGGTTCTATCGTGTGTGTGTGTGTGTGTGTGTGTGTGTGTGTGTGTATGTGTATATATACACATACATACATACACACACACATATATACACACACACACACACACACACACATATATATACACACACACACACACACACACACACACACACACACAAATAACTCATATATCCATTCTTTACAGATCCAGGATGAGAAGACTGATAGAAGAAGAAGCTAGCTGAACAGCTATAAAATGCCCAAATCTGGGTTTGCAAAACCAGTTCAGAGTGAAAATTCTGACAGTGACAGCAATATGGTAGAGAAGCCATATGGAAGAAAGGTACATGATTGTAACTTAAGTTGTTTTTATTCTTTTGGAACTGGCGAAAATGACACCAAATTTGGTAGTTTTAATAATTACTCATAAAATAAAAAGCCACATTGATGTCAGATGTGTTTGTCAGCTTTCCATTACTATAACACAAATACCTGAAGTGATTTGCAATGAAGAAAGGTTTAAAAGTTTATTTTGGCTCACAGTTTTGTAGGTTTCTGTGCATGGGCAGTTGAGCCCACTGCTTTAAGTTCTGTGGTGAGGCAATAAGTGGTTTTTGGAGGAGCTGAGACATTTACCTCATGGCCAGTAAAAGAAGAGAAGAGATAGGGCTGGATTCCCATTATCTTTTTGAGGGCATGCACGGAGTGACCTAAGATTTAGTACTGGGCACCACCTCTTAAAGGTTCCACTTCCTCTTAATTCTACTGTGTATGCTGGGGACACAGCCCTTAAACACATGGGCCTCTGGGGAGCATTCTATATCTAAACCATAATACCAGGTAAGTACAAACTATTTATATAAGCACCAGAAATCAGTTGGATTCCTGAGGATACAGTTATTTCATTCCCTGATATGAACATGGTTACAACTAAAAAATAATTAATCACAAGAAAGGGGGAAGTGCCAAGACTTCACAGTTATTTGGCATTTCTTTCCCTACCTCCTAATCTTTGTTGACAAAACACATATACACACTAGCCACCACATTTTCCAGGTCTGTAACTTGGGTAAATTTATATAACTTCTCCATCCTTAGTATTTCTATATCTAATAGAGGGAAATAATGCTTTAAATGGTTGTTTTGTTGGAGAAATAGCATATTATAGTTAACACAAGGGTTGACACAAAGTAAATGCTTAATAAATGTTAACAGTTGTCTTAGTAATTAGTGCCGATGACAGGTGATTCTTTTTCCATCTGTCCTTCTCCATCCTATTTTATTTAGATACCCAGAACCTATAAACTAATGTCTTCTAACTGATCTCATTATCTCTAGTTTCCTTTTCTAGTTGGTTTTATACATTATTTCAAATTTTTCTTTGTTTTCTTTTTTTGTTTTGAGTCTATTTCTTTTAAAGCCATTTTCTTGTTGAAGGACATCTGAAGTTTCCCCTAGTTTTTTGCTAACAGATCCATACAGCTGTCATCACAATCTAGTTTTACACTATTTCCATCACTGTGAAAAGATCCTTGTTGCCTATTTGCAATTGGTCCCCACTCTTATCCCATCCCCGAGAAATCGTAAATCTGCTTTCAAACTTCAAGAAGTATCTGTTTTCATATTGTCTTCTTTTCAAAATAGTTTTGGCTATTCAGAGTCCATTGAAAAGAATAGCCTATTAGGATTTTAATGGGAATTTTATTGAAGCTGTATATTGAATCTTTTATTTTTTAGTTGTAGCTGGACACAATCCCTTTTTTTTTTTTTTAATTTTTATGTGGTGCTGAGGATTGAACCTAGGGCCTCTCACACGCTAGGTGAGCACTCTACCACTGAGCCACAACCCCAGCCCTGTATATTGAATCTTTAGGTCATTTTGGGTAGTATCTCTTAATAATATTGTCTTCCAGTATACGAGCTTGTTTGCTCCACTTATTTAGGTCCTTTTCAGTTTTTCTTAGAACTGTGGTAGTMTTCAGTGTTCAAATTTAGTACTTTTATTGTTAAATTATTTACAAGTATTTTTTATGTCAATGCTATTTTAGATACTTTCATTTTAGATTTTTTGTTGATAAAATAGAAATACAACTTAATTTTATATAATGGTCTTGTATCCTGTGACCTTACTTGTTTATTGGCTCTAAGAGTTTATGATTGCTTAGGATTTTCTATATATAAGATCATATCATCTGTGACTTTGGATAATTTTACTTATTTGCCAGTCTGGATTTTATGTTTTCTTGCCTGATTGTACTGGCAGTCCCTGGCATTTGCATATTTAGTCCACTGATATTTAATATAATTATTGATGTGTTTTTTATCTAGTAAGAGTTTATTTATATCTATTATTTTTCTTTTTGTTCATACATGTTTCTTCTTCTTTGTTGCCTTTTTTGGTTTTAAATACTTTTCAGTATTTTTATTTTTCTGATTTTTATTTTATTTATTTATTTGGTTTTTAGTACTAGGGATTGAATCTAGGATTACCCTATCACTGAGGTACAATCACCAACCTTTTTTTTTTTTCCAATCTTTTTTAAGATAGGTTCTTGCTGAGTTGTCCAGGTTGGCCTCAAACTTTTTATTTGTTTATTTATTTATTTTAGGATACATTGTAATTACAAGAAAGGAATGTGTTGTTACATATTTGTACATACTATAATTTGGTCAATTTTGTTCCCCATTATTTCTCCTCTCTCCACCCCCTGATTGCTTTCCTCTACTCTACTAGTCTTCTTTCTATTTTCATGAGACCCCTGCTATTCATTCTCTCTCTCTCTCTCTCTCTCTCTCTCTCTCTCTCTCTCTCTCACCCTCTCACCCTCTCACCTTCTTTTCCTCTTTTGTTTCTCTCTAGCTTCCACATGGGAGAGAAAACACATGAACCAGTCAATTTTTAGTGTTTCTTAGTTCACTTCACATATGTTCTCAAGTTGTATCTGTTAACCTGCAAATGACATAACTTCACTCTGAATTGTGTTTATAAACCACACTTTTCTTTATCAAACTGTTTACAGATACCTAGGCTGGTTTCATAATTTGCTGTTGTAATTTGCTGCTGTAAACATGATCATGCATCTATTGCTACAGTATGTTGACTTTAATTCTTTAAGATAAATGCTAAGGAGTGGTATAGCTGGATCACATCGGGATTTCATTCCTTGTCTTTTGATGAACCTCCATACTGCTTTTCACCCACCAAAGTGTTCCTTTTTTCCCATATCCCCTCTAGTGTTTATTATTATTTGTATTCTTGATGGCTGCCATTCTGACTGGAGTGAGTTGAAATCTCAGTGTAGTTTTGATTTGCATTTTCCTAATTGCTAAAGATATTGGACATTTTTTTCATACATTTGTTGGCAATTCTATTTCTTCTTTTGAGAAATATCTTTAGTTCATTTCCTTATTCATTGATTGGGTTGTTCCTTTGGTGGGTTTTTTTTTTTTTGGAGTTATTTATATATTCTGGATATTGATTCTCTGTCAGAGAGTAGTAAAGGTTTTCCTCCCGTATTTTAGTTTTTCTTCTTCATGCTTTTAATTTTTTGCTGTCAGAAGCTTACTTCCCTCCCCTGACCCACACCCCCTTTGGGACTGGTTTCATTGGCCCTGTGTTTTCTTCTAGGAGTTGTATAATTTCTGGTCTAATTCTTAGATCTTTGATTTGTTGATTTTTGTGTAGGATGAGAGATAAAGACTTATTCTCATTCTGATACATATGGATAACTAGTTTAACAGCACCATTTGTTAAAGAGGCTGTCTTTTCTCTAGTGTATGTTTCGGCACCTTTATTGAGGATCAGATTACTGAATCTGTATGTACTTGTGTCTTCTATTATTTACCATAGGTCATCAGGTATTGTGATACCTCCAGCATTGTTTTTTTGGCTTAGAATTACTTTGGCTGTTTGGGTGTTTATTCTTTCGAATGAATTTTAGGACTGTGTTTTTTAGTTCTGTGAACAAAGTCATTGGTATTCTGGTGGAAATTGCATTGAATCTGTATATTGCTTTTGCTAGTGTGGCCATTTTAATAAATATTAATTCTACCTATCCATGAACATGTGAGATCTTTCCATCTCCTGAAGTCTTCAATTTCTGTCTTCACCTCCTTGATTAGATTTATTTCTAAGTGTTTTCACCTCCTTGATTAGATTTATTTCTAAGTGTTTTCTTAGATTCATCATTAGTGCATAGAAAAGCTTTTGATTTTTATTTGTTGAATTTGTAACTAGCTACTCACAGAATTTGCTTTTTTTTTTTTTTTTTTTAATATTTATTTTTCTAGTTCTCAGCGGACACAACATCTTTGTTGGTATGTGGTGCTGAGGATCGAACCCGGGCCGCACGCATGCCAGGCGAGCGCGCTACCCCTTGAGCCACATCCCCAGCCCCAGAATTTGCTTTTTAACAGTAGCAGTCTTTCAGTGGAGTTTTTGGATCTTCTAAGTACAGGATCATGTCATTTGCAAATGATAATAATTTGACATCTTCTTCTCCTATTTTTATCCCTTTTGTTTTCTTCTCTTGCCTGATTCCTCTGGCTAGAATTTTTAGTACTATAATAAATAGGAGTGATGTAAGTAGATATACTTGTTTTGTTCCAGATTTCAAAGGAAATGCTTTTTAGTTTTTCCCCATTCATTATGATGTTGGCTTTGGGCTTTTTGTATAAAGCTTCTATGATGTTAAGATAGGTTCCTTGTCTTTCTGAGGTTGGTGTCTTCAGTGTTTTTTTTTCACGAATGGGTGCTGAATTTTGAATTTTGTTGAAGGCTTTCTCTATCTATTGACATGTCAAAGTTTTTTTTTGTCCTTAATCTGTTTATGTGATGAATTACATTTATTGGTTTGTGTATGTTAAGCCATCCTTGCATCTCTGGGACAAAACCAACTTGGTCAAGATGTACAATGTTCTTAATATGTTGTCGAATATATTTTTCTAGTATTTTATTAAGGTTTTTACATCTAAGTTCATCAATGACGTTGGTGTGCAGTTTTCTTCCTTGATGTGTCCTTATCTGTTTTTTTGTATGACTGATACTGGTTTTCATAGAGTGAATTTGGAAGTATTCTGTCTCTTTCTATTTCATGGAATGATTTAAAGAGCATTGGCGTTAGCTGAATGCTACCAGACCTCTAAAGAACTGAGAATCAACCTTGTCCTGGAATTTTCTGTGTTGGAAGTATTTTTATTACTGCTTCTATCTCATTGCTTGTTCCGTGTGTTTAGGTTTTATGTGTCGTCCTTATTCAATTTTGACAGGTCTCATGTATCTAAAAATGTATCCATTTCTTCTACGTTTTCCAATTTATGAGAGTATGTTCAGAATAGTCCCTG